ACCCTGCCCTCTGTCAGTTTGAAGCCATTCCCGCTTGTCCTGTGACTCCAGGCCCTTGTGTCAAGTCCCTCTCCAGCTTTCTTGGAGCCCCTTTAGGCACTGAAAGGGTCTCTAAGGTCTCCCTGGATCTTCTTCAGGTGAACACCCCCAGCTCTCCCAGCCTGTCTCCAGAGCAAAGGGGCTCCAGCCCTCGGAGCATCTCTGTGGCCCTACAACCACCCTACAGTTTGGGCCTCCATCACCCTGCTGGTTTTGTCCTCCAACCCCAGAGCTCTCAGGTACAGCACACAGTGCCCTGTTATTCTCTAGTGTAAATAAAAAATAAATTATTTAACATACTACTTTGGTAATATCAGCCATTGCAGGGCAGCTTTGCTCTTCCCTGGTGTAGCCACCTGGCTCCTTGGAAGCTGTGATAGGCACACAATGAGAGGTCTTGAGCAAAGGGAATCAGGAAATCGCGCCACAAGATGAATATGTGAGTGGTTTGGGAAGCCAGAGCCTTCATCCTTAACATTGTTGCCAAACACAGGGGTGTCCAGCCATGCCTCCAATGTTTCTCAGATGTTCCAGCTTAGCAGCTCCTCGGCACATTTCCTCCAAACACGGAGTAGTCGGTAAGCAAGTTAATGTTTGGCCTCTTGCCTTCCCCCCACACAAAGAGCTTTGTATGTCAAGTGTGAAAGCTTTAAAATGGAATAAAAAATAAGGTTATTTTTCATCCTGGAGGGGAGGCAACAACATGCAACTCTTTACCTTTTCTTTCCTTTCCCTTTTTAGTTTTTTTTATACTGAAAGAAAGATATAATGCAACACATTTTTGGAAGACTAAGCAGACGTTTACTGTGCCAGGTCCTATCTACTGCATCCTTCAGCATGTTCCAAGGAAAGCAGGCAAAGTATTTTAACTCTGCTATACACCACATAAGTCAGCTTCTTAACTGCTTAGAGTGACTGGTACTACTAGAGAGGGAGTAAAAACTGTCTATTTTTAATTCTTTTGATAAACCAGATGAGCAGTGTCGTTGCTGTAACTTACTGTGTCTGCTTTCCAGCTGAGATTGCTTCAAGGTGGTGTATCATCAGGAGTTTCACTGTTTCTTCATGTAGGAAAGATTCCCAGCAAACTGGCTTTTATACTGATGAAAGAGGACTTCAGTCCTGTTGGAGTGACTTGCTACTCTTTCCAACAACAGAATTTGGAAAATTTCACTTGCATAAAATTGAAGAAAGCATTACTTACAGTTAAAGTTATTTTAACTTAAAGTTTCTGTGACTTCTTCTCCAATACTGAATGCCATTTTCTTTAAACTCCTTTGACCTGGAGTCATTCTGTGTTCACAGTGATGTGCTCATTCTCTCTTTCTCTTTCTTCTCCCTTTTTATTTCATGTTATTGATTCATTTTGAGTTTATAAAATATACCTTAGAAATTCAAAGGTAAGGGAACATTACATTTTTTCAAAGCAGGGATGGTGTAAGAGAAAAAAAGTACTGTTTGTGATGTTGAGATGTGAAGAGGAAAGATGATCTGCTGTTGTCTTTTACTTGGGTGTTTCCTTAAAGATGATACAATAGTGCTATCCCTCTGTTCATTTCTCCTGCATGAGCTGGTTATTTATAGACTATTCCAACACTGGTAGGACTGATGGAATGGCTCTCCTTATCCCTTGAACTGTGAGGTTCCATGCCAGGATGTGGTGGGGTTTTTTTTGTTAAAATGCGTTAGGAAGAAAATAGAGTCCAGTCATTTATGACAATCACTGTTTTCTTTGGTGGTGGTTTAGAGCATCGCATGAGAATCCACCTTGAAGAAAGAATTACTTTAAAGACAGAATTGAAGGCAGAAAACAGTTTTATTTCTCATATGTGTAGGTAATTTTACTAAATTAAAAATATTCATACAGAGAGACAGTAATTGTAAGTATTTATTTAGTATTTAAGAATAACATTAAGTCCAGTGTTTAGACAACTACTGTAGACAATTTGTAATGAGAAATTTAGACTTTATTGGAAAAATCCCTCAGCAGCACCTCTCCTTTAATAAAACTTTTGAGTTTTTTCACTTATAAAGAAACTTGTAATACTTTTAATGAAACTTGTAGCCTTTGACAGGATGGATTTTCAGAGCTTTGTAGTCTATCTGCTGAGAGTAGCCATTGCTAAATCATTTAATTTAAACATAACTGCTCTTGGGATGAATCTGGTTTTGCAGTTCCCATATTACCTTATGGAATGTCAGTAAAAGTTAAAGTATCCTTGTCAAATTTCTACATGCCTTTTTTCTTTGTCATGTCATTTTGTTTTTCCATGCCTTCCTTGTTTTTGCAAGGGGTTTTAAATCCCTGGGACTGCTGATTGTGAAGGCTTGACATACAGGTGGCAACAGAAAAAAAAGGGATGTCCCATTATTGATACTGGGGCCCATAGTGTTCAATATCTTCATCAGCAGTGTGGACCAAAATGTGGCCAAAAAGGCAGAATACACATTCTGTAGATCTGTTGATGGTTCTAAATTAAGAGCAGGTGGCACACTGCTTGCTGGAGCTTCAGGCCACACAGGTCCTGAAAACTCTGAGTTGAACCAACAGAACCTCAGTGAGTTTCTGCATCTGGGACAGGGTGACCCTGTGCATCAGTACATGATGGATGCCATAAAACCTCTGTCCTTGGTGATGTTTGAGACTTTGCTAGAGAAAGCCATAGCTGAATTCCAGTGGTTGGGGCAAGAGTCTTCCTTTAAGTTGGGAGGTTGGACAAGACACTTCTAGAAGGGAGGGTTGTCACAGCGAAGCTCAGTCTGTTTGATGAGCCACCTCAGGTTAAATTATTTCCTTATTATCTGATAGTACCCAAATAGTAATTTCTGACTGCCAGAGAGACAAATTATTACAGAATTTAAACCACATTGCATAAAAAATTAGCTTTTTTAATTATTTGAAAATGTTATCTCTTACTATGTGAAAAACTAAACCCCCAAATTAGATGCTTTTCTAAAGCATACAGTAAAATTACACAAGGAATCTAAGACTGCCATTTCTAGGATGAATTTTGTGAGAAGTGTCCTGTGCTATGCAGAAGTTCAGATTAGATGATTTTGGTGATGCCTTCTATTTTCAGAAGTTTGGCTGAATCAATTCGGAGGCAAAATTGAGCTCTGTAATGGGTTGAAGTTTTGCAGCATGCATTGTGAAAATTATTTTTAAAGGATACAAACTCAGTCTAGACTTCCTTAATGTCTTGATGGAATGGATTAACTGAAAATTTTTAGTAACTTGAAATGGCAGCTCCAGAAAATGCAGTCAAAGATGCCAGAAGTGTGCATAGAACTGGAAAATGCCTAAGTAGAACAGTTTCTATCCTGGTGACTAAAAGTTCAAATACAGTGGAAATGATTGACTGGATATAGAAAAGAAGAAAAGAAGGACTATCCAGGTGTGTTCCTGGTCAGTTTGTAGTTTAGTTTACAGCTAAATTGAATATGTTGACTGTCAACTTGACCTCATAAGTGATGGATTGAACTGTCATAGAAGAGTGAACTAAAAGGCAGAAAACAGAGGAGGAAACTGTGTATTTGAAGTACTAATTTTATTTTCTTTTTGAGAATTGCTTAGGCCAAATGCAGCTTATATAGATAACATAAATCGACTTACCAGTATCCCTTTGGTTTTCCATTAAATCAGATTAAAGAACTCTGCGATTTCCATTTCATCGAACATGAAAGTGCACAGGGAGTCAGAGCAAAATTTCTGTTGTGTGTACATGTGGATTTTCCCTATTGTTTTTTGTCCTTGGTGTGGACACACCTGTGCTTTACCTACTTTATGGACGGTTTCTTGAGCTGTACAAGTACAGTGTTGGTGCCATCAGCCACTCCTGATCCCACTTTGTATCCACAGTGTCTGTTCTTACCAGGTGTGATGATTTAGTCACTGAGTTATAGTTTCAAAGACAGTTACATTCATTTCCTTGTTGTTTAAGACAATCTACTTGATTGAGAGATTGAAGTAAGTTGTCTGCTTCTGACAAGGATAATCATTCCTTTTAATCTGACTACTGCTTCCTGCCTCTCATTACGGGAAGGATTTAATCTCTTGTGGAGACTAAATGCTTACCTTGTGAAAATCACCCTCTGCTCTGTTGAAGTAAACAGAGCTCAAGCACGTGTTCAAACCTGACCACAAACTTCAGTGCTGCTTCAACCATGATTCAATCATGGCATCATATATATGTGGAGGGGAGGGTGTGTGTAATGTTTATGGTTTCATACCTTGTCTCTTTTGAGGTACACTCTTTTGGTTGTCATTGGACCCCATGTGAAATACATTCTTAAATGCAACAGTGAACATTTTAAGGTGTTTTTCTTGAACAAACTCTAATTCAGTCTAATTTCCTTCCTTTTCCTGAGGTGTTCAGAAGTATAAAAATTCAAGCATTCATTAACAGTCAAAAAAATAGAAACAGATACATTTACCACTTATTTGTTACTGTGTATTGAGAGTGGGAAGGGGCCTTTTAATGCTCTTCTCCATCTGGCACATCTTCAATGTGATGGAATTTATTCATTTCACAATTTAAATGCACATGGGTTCAGTTCTGCAGAGGGCAGAACGTGTTGGCCTCGATCCAGGAGAGCGTTGTATTTGTCTGGTCACCTGTAAGCACGTGGGCAGAGGGCTCATGTGCTTCAGTTTAAACGTGCCCCTCGGTCAGGGCAGGCTGCTCAGCACCTCTCCCGCCTCAGCCCTCATCCCCGAGGGTGAGCCGTGTGCAGGCAGGTTTGTAAAATAGGAATTGACACCCTCCTGTGGGAAATTTAACTCACAAGACTAATAACCCATCTGTGGTTTATATTTCTTCATCTTGACTTGTTCAATGCATGTTTAATTTGGGAGGGTTGCTTCAAGGTTGTGGCGAGGGCGCTTTGGCGCTATAATTTCTGTTGTGGAATGCAGTTCTTGTTGGAATAAGGTACATCATGTACTTTTACTCTTTTGTCAGAGAGCAGAAAGACAAACACGAGCCATGGACTCAGTCCAGTACGCAGAATTCTGTGAAAGTCGGCAATTGAGTTTTTGTAAGTATTATAATGGCTGCACTGTATGGAGATGTTTGATTATTATTTCATGTAATAGAGAGCACACCAGAACCTCGTGTTTTTTGAAAGCACTTTTGTTTCATCCTCAATAATAAAACTTTAAATTCTTTCTCTGCATAACTCCTGGGAACAGTTAATTTAGCAGTTTCAGGCTGTATCGGGCAGAGTATTTTATTTGAATATCTACCAAGCTTTCCATGTGCTGGGATACTGTGCTGGTGAGGACCATAGAACTGGTAAGGAGTTAATGGATTAAAACCACCACTTGCCTCAAGTTGTCATGGTGGTGTCAAAGTTGGCATATTAGGAAGTTTCATGGTTGCAGGTTTTTCGGAATGCATCTAAAATTAGAGAAGAGCAGCAAGTTCTGCTTTTATTTTCCGATCCGCAGAGACACAAAGAACTTACTAAAGAGACTCTTCTATTTTAAGCTGTAAGCTCCTGCTGTGGAATTTGTTCAACATTAGCCAAGTTCATCAGTATACGCCATTCCAACACTAATAACATGATGACAGAATTAGGGCTTTTCTAGCACTGAAAACCAACTTACTAGAAGTACTTGTGGGCCATGACTATAATGAGCTGTAAATTAATGGGCTTGATCATGTAGCAAAACATCATTACAGAAGTGGTTAAGTGATGACTAAGGTTTTAGGTCAGATGTCAGAGAAAGTGAGGCGAAGGAGCCAGTAAAAATCATGACAAAACAGCACATGATCCTACAACACAGACTTGAACACAATGGTGTCTTTAAAGGAGAGACCTTATCTTGTTCTTCCTTTTAAATTCAAAGAAAGAGTGACTCATTTATGGCTAAAAAATGACACATTTGAGATACTGTTCTGCATCAGCAAATGTCAGCAAACGTAGGAAAACATGTTTTGCAAGCATTTCTTTTCTTAATTCAATATGTTTTTTATGTTTAGTTATAATTTGGCATCACACATCTGTGAGCCATTAGATAAATGATACGTCAGATTAGGGCGACTTGAGGAAATGAGAGGTTTGTGATAAAGTAATTTTGAAAACCCGAAAATTGCCATCTGGACACAGAACAAATAGAAATCTTAAATTTGAGAAATAAAATTGAATGTTGCTGACCAGGGGATTGTGATCTATAAAAATATCTCAGTGCTATTTTCACAATGTTTTTAAATGACCATATCTATAAAGTTCTTTTTCACTGACATTTAATGTCATTAAAGAATATGAGAATTACAGTGGTTAGAAGATAGTAGCAAGAGAAACTCAGGCACAAATTCAATTGCATAACATGAGCTCAATTAGATAGAACATAATAAGT